AAAGTTAAATGTGAGCCAAAATCATCACAGTTAAAAGAACCAAAGACTTAAACTACTTCAGTCTGTGTGCATTGAATTTATTTAATACACGAGTTTCACAATTTGAGTTTAATTACTGAAATAAATGAACTTTTCCACGACAATCTAATTTATTGAGATGCACCTGTATGTTCCTGCACAACCGGAGACTGCAGTTCTAGGACTGCAGTTCTAGAACCCTATTCTTTTGTAACAGCGCCACCTACCGAATTGGATCACTAAAGATGGACGACATGGACAGCAATCAGAGTGAGTAACTTTACCGATTTTCAATTAAGTTTTATTTTATAAACTTAAAACGATGCAAAGTTTACGTAGTCTTGAAGCAGCTCTAGCGAAGAGATAGGACGGATCACGAGGAACGGAGTGGGGCTTCATGGCGAAGGAAAGACGCCGTGGCGGGTTTGGCGATCACTGTGGTGTGAATGAAGAGAATGACGAAAGTAGCATAGAAGAAGAAGATGATTTTGCAGATTTGAATTGTGGAGAGTGGAATCAGGTAGAGCTGACATCTCAGAAACGGAAAGACAGAGGCTCAGATTCGGAAGAAATCGGGGGAGAAGGAGGAAGGAGTAAAACAATGCGGACGGAGGATGAGTACAAGGTTATGTTTACATTCGCAACAATGGAGTTTAATTACTGAAATAAATGAACTTTTCCACGACAATCTAATTTATTGAGATGCACCTGTATGTTCCTGCACAACCGGAGACTGCAGTTCTAGGACTGCAGTTCTAGAACCCTATTCTTTTGTAACAGCGCCACCTACCGAATTGGGTCACTAAAGATGGACGACATGGACAGCAATCAGAGTGAGTAACTTTACCGATTTTCAATTAAGTTTTATTTTATAACCTTAAAACGATGCAAAGATTACGTAGCCAACGTGAGAACTGCTAAGAAATAATAATAAATTCCCGATTGCTAGTTATATTGATTATTACGATGTTCTTAATTCGTGGCCATGATTTAATTAAGCTAAACCTTGTTGACATAATGACTACAATAAGTAAATCTAGCCAGCACATTAATTAAACTTAAAAAGATGATAAAAGCATGTTGATGTGAGATGTGTCAGATTTACCTGTAGCTTACTGTTAGTGTGAAAACTTGTTTGATACTCATTGTTTTAGCAGATTAGTTCGCCATTGTTTAAGATCTGCACAATAACCTAGTACATCTTATTTGTGTTTTAACTGTAAAATAACAAATACAAAGTCTTCATGAAAACATTCCAAAATGCTTTGATGTGGTCTTGTTAAGTGCTCTTTGTCTGCTTTAAGTGACGTAACTTCACTGTACTTAAAGCAGACAAAGACCACTTATTAATAATAATAATAATAATAATAATTTTTCTCACCTTATAATGTATTATAAATACAGGCTTCATAGAAAGTGTTACCGGATTGACAAACAATTGAGGAAAGAAGAGCGAACATTCAGTTTGTGGGTTTTGCTCTTCTATACTTAAATTTGGAGTTTGGAGTTAGATGTCAGTAACATGATTATTCTGTTTGGTTCTCTCTACAACCCCAACAGTGCATAAGTGTTAAATCAGAAATATATATTACAGCGTTAAACATGTTAAAGCAAATGGTTCTTATTTAATTCTCCCTCTCTCTCTTTTTTAATCTCTCTCAGGAGTTGAAGCCTACAGTCTTTCTGTCCATGCAGCAACTGATGGAAAAGGGGGTCTTTATGATGTTGTATTATGTGTGATTGCAAAAATGAGTATATACAGTATATAAATATGCATTCTTGAATCATTCTTGAGTCTTGTGTCTTGCCTCTCTACAAACTTTTAAATATCTGGCTGTAATTTAGTGACTGCAAATGCTGATTTCATTTGATTCCATCTTTATTATACCTGATAATGAGCTAGTTAAACTTAAGGGGGCTAATCAATATACAGTATATTTCAAGAAACTAAGACTTAAGGTACTCCACTTTTTCAGTTGTTTAAAGACTGAAATACATTTTTCATTTATATTTTAAGTGTAAATTCATTTAAATTTAAAATTGTTAACTCAAAGCAGGTATTACACACTTTGTAATTAACATCTGATGCATTTATAAATCAAAAATCACAATTGAAATAAAAAAAAAAA